TTTTTTTGTTTCCATCCAGTTGCACTGGATTTGTTTCCATCCAGTTGCACTGGTTTTACTTCATAGTTACCTTGTAATGCTGCTGAGAGAGTGAACGGTTGTTTTTTTGGTGCGTTCGGGTGCTTGGGAGAAGGTAGGAAAAAGGGGAGTTGTGCTGTGTCATAGTTCTCTACACATCTACCGGCTTTCTCCTTTAAAAAGGTTCTTTTCTTGCTGCATAAAATCAACTGTGCGTGTGTTTTCTTACCGATGATCACTACGGGCAAAATGTCTCCGGGGATAATTTCTTTATCGTGACGATCCATATTTATCTGAGGAGAGAAAAGAGACATTATCATTATTAATATTATATCTTTATCAATGCAACATCAAGATAACTTCCATTACCACCACTATTATTAGAAAGCAGAGTAAAGGGTGAAGTAGTTAATCATTAAGGCCAGTTACAATGAGTTACAATGGTCAGTCAGTACATTTCCACTGACCTCTGACACACACACACCGTACTCAAGACACACACACACCGTACTCAAGACGCACACACACACACACACACACACACACACACACACACACACACACACCATAAGTTTAAGAAAGCAGTGTGACCTCAGATAAACACACTTGAGAAGCAGTGTGACCTCAGGGAGAGATAAAGCACGAGGAGCAAACAATTAAACTATTTATCGTCCTGCAGAAACAGAAAATATTGTTCATGAAATGTTTGAAGACTGAAGAACAAACCCTGAGAATGTTTGGAGACTTTATAGCTGGAATCTTTACGTATAATAAATGAACATAGATGACTCAAAATATTCTAATTCAGTGTGCAGAAAATATTGGATTCATTTAAAAAAAATGCTCCAGCGACAAAATCATAACATTTCTAATCTTAAAGCTCATTGTTCACTTTTCTCTCTTACTGCACAGAAACAAACTCTCCGTCTGATCGTATTGAACTAAGACATACGAGTGTTTGTGGAGGCAGGAAGGGGTTAAAAGGAAGTCAACGGTGGGTCAAAGAGTTAAAACAAGGAGCACCATGACAACTGTGAGCCCACAGGGGGGTGGGTGGGGGAAATCTGCAGAGTCATGCTTACACAGATAACATGAGAGTGAAAGGAATGAAAGAAGGAATAAATAAATAAGAGGAGGAGGAAGAGGGGAGACAGGCAGACAGGCAGGCAGAGAGACAGACGGACATGTTGAGGAAGAGATAAAGAAGGTTATATAAGAGCAGTGCAGAGGTTGAAAGCAAGCCCAGACCAGAGGGTGTTTAATAGCCAACGGGTTTACTGGACATACACGCGCGCGCGCGCACACACACACACACACACACACACACACACACACACACACACACACTGTACTACGAGCAGCACTACTGGCCCAGTTTCCTTGTTGAACTGATTTGACTGGATGATAATTTGTTTTCCTTCATTTGTTTGGCAGTAAAAACACGAAAAGAATGTCTGCCAAGAAAAAGAGTTGACCAACGCCTAACAACAGTCATTGTTTTTTGAGTTTGTTCATCTTAATGTTTATCTTGAAGCAGAACCTGCATACCACATAGGTTTATCTTCTCATTGACAAGCTCGGACATGAGGAGCTAAAAGTCTGTTTTAATTAAATGACCCGAATGTTGGCTGTAACAACGTTAAGTTACCGTCTGTGAAAGTTTAGCCCTCCACAACAGTGATGCAGCACTTCAATCATGTATGCGCGCTCATACGATATGATTTTATAATCAATAGGGGGCCTAACTATTGTTTAACACAATCATTTACGTTAACACAACAAAAAACAAAAAAAAGACAAAACAATCTATTTGTTTGTGGAGGTTTGGTTGCCGGGCAGATGTCGTCGTTAACATTTACTTTCACTTTAAGATCAGCACAGAGAGACACAGGAACTTGGCCTTTTCTGACTTTTTTTTTTCTAATTCTCTGATTCCAGTTTGTTAAATGTGAAAGTCTTCTGGTTTCTTTCCTCCATCAGTCAGTCGGCACACGATGTCGTCATCAATCATTACAAAACAAACAGACACACATTAACTTCCTCTGATGACGCAACATCACATCGGCACATTACAAAAGAAACCAAACCGACACTTCAAGACCTCAACAGCAGATTAAGAATATATTTTAAAAAAGACTTTCAGTTTTTAGAGTTTAATTTATTGGCACAAAACCAATTTCAAACACCAAGTCATCTTTTATTTTATGTTTTTTTTTCTGATGGGAAAAACCAAACGAAAATTGCAAAAAGAAGAAGAAAATCCGTGACGCAACGTATTTTGGTTCACGTTTGAGGTTTGAACCTGTGCGACAAAGACTTTTTCATCCATTAAATGAACCGGTGCTTTTGCAAAACATTAAATAAACAGGAGCCATATTCCTCTGCAGCAAATATAGCAAAGCCCAAAGTCGTATCCAGCTGCTGGTGTCATTTGAATACATGGACACCATCTTTCACCGGCACTGCCTCCTGCAGTCAACCATCTGCCAGACTGCTAATGAGATTTTAATTATCTGCCCACCGAAGGAGACACATGAGTCCAGTTGTAAACGTACTGAAGTGGTTTGTGTTGATTCAGACTCATCTGACAACAGATACCTTTAAATGATGGATGCTGCAGACGACACGCTCATTACATAATGACGTTGTGAATGAGTTTGAAAAGTCTATTAAAAACAAAAAGGTCTTGTATGTAACAGAAGAGGTTCATTTTTCTGCTACGTTATACTTCTAAGTATTGTACTTTTAACTGTGCTTTGCAGATTGAGATTATTATTGTGATATGTAATAAACGAATACATTTTTATGGATTTAAATATCCATGAAATTAGCCTCACATCTACCAGCAGTGATGATCGCATCAGTAAATAAATCATTATAATGTAATTACATAAACATACATTATTATGAAATGGACCATTCTGCATATTGAGTACTTTTAGTTTTATTGTGCTTGAAGTACATTTTGATGTTAATACTTTTGTACTTTGACTCAATTAAAATATTTTTGTAATATTGCTATTTTGGTTAAGTATCCGAGTACTTCTTCCACCTTGCAGTGACTTTGTGTTAAAAGCTACTTAGCATTAATGCTAGCATGCTAATAAACTGGACTAAAATCGTGACAGGGGGTGAACGGTACACCTGCTTAGCATCATGCGTGTTAGCATCGAGATCGGGGAGCATTCGATTGACTCTTGACGGCTCTCAACATGTCTTCCGCGACGTCATCAACTGTAACCTCCGTATGAGCGCAGCGGGCACATAAGCTAGCAAGTGAGGCACGCTCTCACGTGCACTAACACGCACTAAGAAGCACGCGAGGTTATGCCGGCTATGTAAACAAAGAAAGGAGAAGCTCCCATGACAACGCACACAAATCCTCTCACAGCTATTAGTTAGTTTGCTGCTATATTAATGGTCAGAATGTGACATAAAGCTCCATTAAGTACGATTTTCTTTGAACGAACGAGTCTTTGATTGCACCGGCTAACGGCTCATTTATAACATCCGCCTTCCACGCGCCGCTTTAATCAAAGATGGAATCTAACTCACAGATATTTTCTTCCTGCCCGCTGATGCCGGCTCTCCGTCAGCTCTCAAGAAGAAGAAATGACTGCAACCTTCTTATTCTTCCTCTATCTTCTTCTCAGTCTCTCATTCCTTCCACGCTCTTTATTCGGTTTCTTCCGTTACATGCGCGACACTAAAACATCCTGCTGCCGACTCGGAGCTGCACATTCACAGATTATATATATACTGTCACCGCCGAGTCCGACACCCAGACGACCAATCAGAAGCGACCTTCCGCTGCTGGTTCTGCTACCTCACGCGCGATGTCGTCAGACGAAGAAGAAAGATCGTCTAAGTGTGCGAGGAGAAGGCACGAGGACAGTACGAGGATGACATAACCGACGGAAGTAGCCGAAGGGCTCCTGTTCGGTAACAGATATCTAGAGGTGGAAGAAGTACTCAGATATTTTACTTACGTAAATGTACAAATACTACAAAAATGTAAAATTGTTTTTAGGTAAATTCAATGTGTGTGTTGTTTAGTCCATCTTAACTTTCCAGCACAATACTAATTCGAAATGAACACAATATTAATGTATAGTTTTTTATTATTATATATATTATTATATTATTGTTTTATATTATTATATATTATTAATTATAATATTATAATATTATATATTTTATTATTTTATATATATAGTTTTTGTAGCAATGGTGGTTTGCGGAAATGTAAACAGAGTGGGCGCTCTGTCTGTGAATTGCCCAAAGGAGATCTCTCTGTGGGGCACGACGAGTCGTTCTGCGGTCCCGTCCCCCTTTTTTCCCCCTCCCGTCCTAATAAATGAAGCTGAATCTGAAGTAGACTTGGGTGGAATTTTTTTTTTTTTAACTGTTGGTCGATTGGCACTTGCTTCTATTCACATACAGTGAAAGTCTCAAAAGTTTAAACTAACTAGATTCTAGATAGTCAATCATTTTATCAGAAAAATAAAAATGAAGCCAGATTAATAAAACAAGCAACGTCCCTCTGGATCATTAGAATTAGGAGCATGAATGGGTTTAATTTCATTCTTCCATTAAATTAATCGTTCTTTGATATTTATTTTGTGAATAAGTGGAAATGTTGGTTTGATAATGGTGATAAAAGGAAAGGTCAGGGGGTCTTTTTTACTCTTATTTATTATTCTTTAAGAACTATGCTAATGCTAACATTAGCATGCTAAAATGATCATAATGTCAATGCTAACACGCATGATGCTAAGCAGGTGTACTGTTCACCCTAAAGTTCAACTATAAAGTCATCACTTGGTACATACCAGATGGCAACCTCCTGGCTCCTCTGGTTGTATAGAAGTCTATGAGAAAATGACTACTTCTCTCTTGATTTATTACCTCAGCAAACATGAGTTTATGGTCTCAATCTCTAGTTTCAAGTCTTCTTCAATACAGCATGATGTTCATTTAGTAAATGATGGTCCATTTAGAGTCAAACAGACCATAAAGCAGAGTATGCTTTAGGGCGGGTCTAGACAGTGATTGACAGGTGTCTACCCTATCAGAGCTGTATAAAGCGTCTCTACGTCACTCCTCCGCGGTCCAAATATGGTCACTTCCTTTCACTGGTTGCAAACAAGCCAAGATGGTAACGGCCAAAATGCCGAACTCAAGGCTTCAAAACTACAGTCCACAAACCAACGGGTGACGTCACTATGAAGCTGAGGTTTAAAGAAAGAAGTGAACCTCATGTTGAAGCAGGAGGAAAAGTCAGACTCATTGCATGGGAACCATGAATGTCAGTGTTGTTGGGATCTGACCCTGCTGTCCTGGCTGGCTGAGACCTTCACACGTGCTTTTCAAACAAAGGAGCAGCCATGTTCCTTCCTTTCACCAAAACGCCTGACCTGGGGTCTGCAAGAAACCTCATGCCGGATGACCACACCCCCCAGCTCCAGCAGAAACCTGATGCTGGTCCCTCATTGGCCAAGAAAGGGCCCCCCACTGGTTGTGCCACCTGGTTTATAAGCCTGAGCACAGCTAGAATTCTTTCTCTTCCGTCCAGCCACCGCTGGTGTAAGGAGATTCACAAGGCTCTCTTCACTCCGGACACGCGCTGGTGTCAGGAGGTCCACAAGGCCTCTTCACTCCGGACTCGTCCAGGGGACAAGAAGATCCACGAGGAACCGCGGCCTCATCAAATCCTATCAGGTCACATGTAACATTCGCTGGTCGAACAGACTGTGTTTTATTTTGAGTTTTGGATCCTGTAGTGCGAGAACGGATAACTCCTATGCCCCGTTCTCCCACCCTTTTTGTGTACACACCGCCGGCAGAAGGTAACAATCTTTCCTCGCCGAAGATTTCCGGGAAGGACGACCCAAACCTCGTCCCTCAGCCGAAGTTAAAAAGCCCCTCTCTGCAGCGAGGAGGCCGAGTCTGCGCCAGCCAGCCTCGAGGCAGCGCCACCGACAGCCAGCGGCTACTCGAGGACCGAGTGATCCCCACCACGGGAAACGTACCCTACCGAACGAAGCTTCTACAAGTAAGACGGTATAACTGTCATTTCTATACAACTGACAGTATATAGAAATGAGTCAAGTCATCATTTATTTATTTATTGAACTTCATACGGACATTTGACATTATTGTAAACTCGGTCTTCCTTTTAGCATTAAATGTGCAGAAGGTTTACATTTTTGATAGACTATTTCATGGATTAGGATAACTTTTGATACTTTGATTTGTACTACAATTGTGTAGTATTTCGTGGATCTATTAGCAGCAATCTAATATAATAATCATAATGTTGCTAGTAGTGTAAAATCACCTGAAACTAAGAATTGTTGTGTTTTCGTTAGTCTAGAATGAGCCCTTCATTAGGGAGCGGGTCCTCTTCATGGAGGCGGCCATGTTGTACTGCCATTTTTCTACAGTAGCCCAGAATGGACAAACCAAACACTATCTCTAGAGAGAGCCTTTTGTGTTTGTATTTTACCTGAAGGCCACCGTAGTTCTCCGACACGCTTATGAAACTGTGGAAACATGAGTCGCAGAGTGCAAAACTGTGGCACCGACAGCTGCAGCCTGACTTCAGTTGCAAGTAGTGAAGTGGCGAGGTGACACAGTTACCATAGTTTTGCACTTTGCAGTCTGTCACCACTATTTGCCACCAAATCCTACACACTGTCCCTTTAAGTAAATTCTTTTAACGCTTCCTTCCCCACAAAACAAAGACATGCAGCCCATCACAAGAACAGTGTATGAAGGGAAATAAATCTCTGTTAAGTCACTATCCCCATTAACAAAATGGGGATTTTGTTTTTGCAATGGCAGCGAATATTGACGCTGCGTCTGGTAACTTCCATGAGCTCGGCATGACGAAGTGTCCTTGGGCAAGACACCGAACCCCAAAAGCTGCCGAAGGCTCCCAGTTAATAAATGTGAGTTAGTTCGGGGTCTATATCTGGCACCTTGCAAGAAAGCCTCTGCCATCAGTATGAGTGGGTGTAAATGGGTGAATGATGCCATGTTGGAAATCTAAAAAGGTGTTTGACAAATACAAGTCCATTTACCATTTACAAAAGGGATAGCATGTGACGAGCTGGAATCCATACGTGTTGATGTGTGTGATTGAGACACTAGACTGGTTTGTAATTAGAAAGTCGTAAAACAATCACCAGGAAGCTTCTGTAACAGACAAACCAACCAGTCCAGGTTGTCTTCTCATCCAATACAAGTAGAGAGAAATGGTGGATGAATCTTTTTTATGTTCATGGCTTAGTTTCTGTTTGATAATGTGGTTTTAAGGCCGTACTAAGCGAAGGACATGTTAGGTTTTGGCAACTGAAGCACTTTAAAGTGGGAGAACATTTTTATTTCTTGTTCAATATCTAAAAAATGGAAAGTCAAAGTATGTTGATTATTTAGACGGACTTATCAGGAAGGACAGCAGAAAGAAAAACCTCTGGAATCTGTAAGCTAAAAACAAAAGTCCATCTATAAAAAGACAATTATAAGTCCATGGTAATGGACCGTTATGAATGCCCGAAGTTGGTTCAGTCTTCTGGCCTAACAACAAAAAAAAAAAGTACTTCAAATGGAGGACGATTACTGTATATACCAAAGCTTTCACTGACGTGGACTCAAGGAAAAGAGAAAACCTGGAAGACCAAAATAGACCCGAGGAAGCTCAACATGTTGCCAAGGATTGGGGAACAATGGTGGGACATCATTGTTGCTTTATGACCCACACTACTTTGAAGATGTTTGATTTTCAACATTTACTTTTTCTTTCTTTTCATTTGTAGCATCAACACAGTTAAACAAGTTGTGAAAAGGAAACCTGCAGACTTTGAATTCTTTGTGGTGGATGAATTGGAAATGCTTTCACTATTTATGGGAATATTTGGGAAAAAAATGTATCTGAAACAGCACTTAATGTGACCTCATATACCTAAAGGAAAAAATGCTTCGGGTGTCAAATAAAGGGCCATGACAGCTTTTGGTGTGAAAGCCGAGCGGTGCGAGTCTAAAGATGCCGTTGGGAAACCCAACACCGGCCTGTGAGTCACCGCGTAATCCCGTCCAGGAAGCTTTCCTTTTGTTCGTGTGTGCCGACGTCACGGGGATCTGCTTTCAACAGCCGAGATCACAGGCAGAGGATGAACAGATCAGAGCCAGACAAAAGGGCCTGCGAGGGGTTAAAAGTACACAAAGCATTCCTCATCTGTCGTTTTTTTTTCCAGGAATAGAGGGAACATTTGAACAAGACAGAGAGACACAGTGAGGTACAGTGGTGGTCAGACACTGAGCTCGGGGGCTTCGGACTTCACACGGCCCAAAAGAAAACAGCGACGGGTGAGATGTGCCGCGTAAGACATTTTACCTGAATGTGTCTCTCTATAGCTGTTCATGACGGGGGACATGCTGTAAGAGGCCACATCCAGTTTAAGAGACAGCATTGAACGTTTGAATTATTAATTCTGTGATGTACACTGTAGCACTCGATTTAACTCTTCAACAAGCCCCGCCTCCCTCTGCGACTCCATCAAGCTGTCAGGGCTACCTTACCGTGGAGCCCACACTGTCACTAACTGCACTCCCTGCATTAATATTAAATTAATGGAAAAAACTAAAATGTGATTTCACAGAGAAGCAGACAGAAGGGTCTACAATATATGTTTAAAGGATATATCCAGGATGTCAAATTGATTCAGCAG